ATTTTTGTTGTAGTAGATGAAATATGTATTGTACAATACTAATCTCTAATGTACATGTATGGTGTGGATGATTCTATTATAAATGCATCATGTAATTTCTATAATTCTCTACAATGTCGTTTCTAACAACTAAATTTATTAAAAGTAAATATCATTTATAATACTAATGCTATAAAAGTAATAATTGGTCTTTCCTCCTGTGCAGGATATTTTTCTTAACACCAACTTCCTTCTCCTCATGTGCCTTGGCATCCTGCAAATATTTATTCGCAAATATATGACTTTCTCTTTCAGCTTCGAATTCTTCCCTTTCCTTCCCTTTCGTATTCTTCTCATTTTCTTCCATTCTGAAAGGAAGACCCAATTTTTTCCTGTCGATGACTGTTAACAAACATTACCAGAAGCTTTTTATTTAAATACAGGTTGTCCCAAAAATGTTGTAACACATTGAAAGGGGTGGTTCGGGAGGTGATTTGAAACAACTTTTTCCTTAGCGAAAATGTTGTCCGAGGCTTCGTTGAGGAGATATTACCGGAAAACACTGACCAATCAGAGCGCGCGGATACCGCTGGAGCGGCCGCGGTAGCGAAGGCTACGAGCTAAGCGGCCGCGTCCAATGTCCTTCGATGCACGTCGAGTCGCTTGTTCGCGTACAAGCGCGGCCGCTTAGCACATAGCCTTCGCTACCGCGGCAGCTTCACCGGTATCCGCGCGCTCTGATTGGTCAGTGTTTTCCTTTAATATCTCCTTAACGAGGCCTCGGCCAACATTTTCGCTAAGGAAAAAGTTGTTTCAAATCACCTCCCGAACCACGTCTTTCAAGCTGTTACAACATTTTCGGGACACCCTGTATGCATATAGAAACTTACTGTCTCTTCAGCAACGTGGCATATTTCATCTGTTTCTGGATTTGTTCTTCCGTTGTTCGTTTCTTCTCTTCCTCGTATTTCGCGACGTCGGCTTTCATCGAACTCACGTAGCTCGTTTCTTCGTCTTTATCGATGTCTTTCAGAGTTTCTCTGAATTTCATTTGAGCGTCCAGCTCCCTCAAGCACTGCGAAGCATGTATCCAAATCATTCCGAGCCTAGTATAATTCCATCACTTTTGAGGAATAATTTCTTCTCTTTCTTCTTTTACATAATTCTGTATAATTATCTCTATAACTTCTATATTATATAGCATATTATAATATATGTAAGAGTCTAATCGGAAAAACTAATCCACGGAGATTCGAACCCACGATCCTCGGATCCAAAGACAACCGCTTTACCCAAACGACTAATTCCCGTACTCTACGTTTCATATTCTCGTTTGACTACTTATTGAAACCATAACCTCTACAATTTCTTCCACATCTTTCTTCGCAATCACAATTCTCATACCTCTGAGGTAAGCAGAGCCTGATTGATTCGTCTGCACATAGGTTTCTTATAAAGAATTAATTTCTTCGCTTGGTTTATGACTTCCGCTCTCTCGGCTGCTCTTCTTTCGAGACTATCCTTGACGAACTTCTCCCTTTCCTCTTCAGCTTGTCTTTCTTTCTCCAGAAGCTCCTGTACCCTCTGCTTTTTTGCATCCTTTCAAACACATTATGCTTCGTTAAATCCATTACGTTTTAATAAAAGATCCTAGAATTTCGCTTTAACGTACTTTAAACGAACACTAGGTACCTTCGCAACAGTAATAAACAATTCTGATTTCGTTGTCTGACTTTCTTCTTTCTGCGCGGAGGGAGTCACGCAGCAGTGCTGAGAATTTTTTCGACACGATTCCGCAGTGTTCTCAGCCATCTATTTCAAAGAACATGTTTTTGTAAATATTCTTCTATTTACAACGAAAAGAAATAGTTCGTTACAAAGTTACGTATTAATTTATGGAAATGGTAGGCGTTAATAGATAAATAGAGGCGCCTTCAGGGACTGTAGCGGTGTTTGTAGCTACAGTACGGGCATAGCAACCCCGTGGTACCCTAGCTAGAGGGGGGCTAGAAGTGGTCAGCGGGCCCCAATAGATGAGAAATAAGAGATACCGCAAACACTATTAAAACAATGCAGGAGTCATGCAAGACAATGATAAGAAAAATGGAAATGAGCTTAGTAATAAGTAAGCAATAGTGCAATAACTTTGTACAATAATAATAAGTTACCCAATTTGACTCTTTGGGGTACGGTGAGATTAAAAGTGTCCCACCTTTTTGATGGACCGTAACGCATTGCGGGACGCTTTTAATCCCACCTCGAAATTTTGCAACAGCTGCATGCGTATAGGTGCGATACGTTCATTAATAAAAATATAACAATTTTGTTTGATTTAAAACGCAATAAAATTCCTGTGCCGCAAACAGTTAAATAAATCAACGAATTAATAGACAATAGCGAATAGATTTACGGTTACTATTTATTTCGTAATATTCTCCGTAGCCAAGGAAAGTTTCCTATATAAAATTCAGTCCGAACACTTTGAGATTAGGAGAGCGTCGAAACATAGTGTCGACGAAAACATAGTCCTCGAGCCATTCCTCCTTAGCAACTGTAACTCGGTGTCGAGTTACAGCGTTTACGTTCTTCGTCGAAGGCTTTGGCCGTTGGAGGAACACCTGCCTTCAAATAAGCCGATTCGTAGCAGGCTCTCGCTCAAATTTGTCAGATAGAACGAGAGAACACGTGTTATTGAGATAAGTCGACAGTCGAGACACTCGAGCCCAACGTTCCGCGAGCTCGAGAAAAAAAAAAGAAGCTTCTCGATGAAACGTATACCGTTAGCGGCTTCGTCTGCACGTGCGGGTTCTGATTCGTAGAAATAAAATATTCGTGACCAAGTATTGCCAACAGAAATCGAAAAAAAAACTCGAAAGTAGTGTTCCTCTACTTACACAAATTTCTACATTTTGCATTCGAGAGTTAAGTAGAAGTAATAAACAGAGAAGTATCGAGTTTCGATATTAAAATATCGTCAACAGAAATCGAAGAACGTTCCCCTGAACGTTCCATTAAACAAATTTCGACGTTTTGCACTCGAGAGGTTGGTAGAAGTCCCGACAGAAATATCGAGCTCGGATATTCCATCGAGCAAGAAAAGATTTAACCGGAAGGCTCGAAGACATACTTTGACGTGCTCCGATGGCTTCCTTGTTGTTTCATTTGGCTTTTCAGCAATTGCAGACGCGTTGCATTGCACTACTGTGGCCATGATCAAGATCACACAGGAACGAAGCAAATTTTCACGTGCAACACACCAAAAATTACGGTGCAATAAACCAAAGTCTGCGATGACTTTCTTGTGAGATGTTGTGGTTGACTTTGGACCTTTAGACTGCGTGGTATGGTTGCCTTGGAAACTATATTGGAACAATCGATACGTGGTTGGAGATTTTTAGGTATACAAAGGGCATATTTTGATATTTAACAAAAAGTACAGTATCACAATCAAAGTTTGCAATAAGTTTCTTTTAAGACGTCGTGGACGATTTTAGATGCTTTAGAATTTTAGATGGCGTGATGTCATTGCCTTGGACACAAGATTGAAATAATTGGTAATATTCAGAGACTTTAGGATTACAAAGGGCTACTTTGGTAATTTGAAGCCACCCTGGGCCCTAGTTATTAAAATCAAGTGCTACCATGTGTAGGTATCCGCCATTTTGTTACTCACTGTTCTTCCTCATTCTACTATTATTATTCCAACTTTCCTTTAAACCTCTAGATGGTGTGATGTCATTGCCTTGGAAA